TACAAGAATAAGGTTTCTCACCAGTGTGATCATAACTGTGTGCAGTTAGTTGACGTTTTTGCGAAAAACTTTTGTTGCATATACAACAAGAATGAGGTTTCTCACCAGTGTGAACACGACTATGTTTAGTCAGTTCACTTTTTTGCGAAAAACTCTTATTGCATATACTACAAGAATAAGGTTTCTCACCAGTGTGAACACGACTGTGTACAGTTAAAGAATTTTTTTGCAAAAAACTTTTGTTGCATATACTACAAGAATAAGGTTTCTCACCAGTGTGAACACGACTGTGTGCAGTTAGTTGACATTTTTGCGAAAAACTTTTGTTGCATATACTACAAGAATGAGGTTTCTCACCAGTGTGAACGCGACTGTGTACAGACAGATTACTTTTATACGAAAAACTCTCGTTGCATATACTACAAGAATAAGGTTTCTCACCAGTGTGAACATGACTGTGTGCAGTTAGTTGACTTTTTTGCGAAAAACTTTTGTTGCATATACTGCAAGAATAAGGTTTCTCATCAGTGTGAACATGACTGTGTGCAGTTAGTTGACTTTTTTGCGAAAAACTTTTGTTGCATATACTACAAGAATGAGGTTTCTCACCAGTGTGAACACGACTATGTTTAGTCAGATCACTTTTTTGCGAAAAACTCTTATTGCATAAACTGCAAGAATAAGGTTTCTCACCAGTGTGAACTCGACTGTGATTATTCAGATAACTTTTTTGCAAAAAACGCTTGTTGCATATACTACAAGAATAAGGTTTCTCACCAGTGTGAACTCGACTGTGATTATTCAGATACCTTTTTTGCGAAAAACTCTTGTTGCATATACTACAAGAATAAGGTTTCTCACCAGTGTGAACACGACTGTGTACAGTTAGAGAGAGTTTTTGCGAAAACCTTTTGTTGCACATACTACAAGAATAAGGTTTCTCACCAATGTGAGCAAGACCCTGTTCAGTTAGATGACTTTTTTGTGAATAACTCATATTACATAAACAACAAGAATAAGGTTTCTCAACAGTGTGAACACAACTCTCCGTAGTCAGATGACTTTTACATGAAAAAACTCTTACTTTATACTAGAATAAGGTTTCTCACCAGTGTGAACACGATTTTGTTTAGTTAGATAACTTTTTTTTGAAAAACTCCTATTACATGAACTACAAGAGTAAGGTTTCTCAACAGTATGAACATAACCATGTGTAGTCAGATTACTTCTATGGGGGAAAAGTCTTATATAGGACAGGAAAAAGGCTCCTCACCAATGTGAACAGGAAGGTGTATAGTCAGATGAGTTCTTTGTGTAAAACTCTTGTTATATATACTACAAGAATAAGATTTCACTCTTTTATGAACACAACTATACTTAGTCAGATAACTCTTAGGGGATATTTCCGTATCGCTATCTGTGAGGCCCACTAGATTCGCCAAGGCGCGATTTAACCGAGGTCCTCTATTTAATGCCTATAATTATATTTCTCCATTCTTTGCCGATGTATTTTCGACAAACATTGTGAAAGTATCTTAGAGCACACAAACTAAAATCAATTAATTCACACGTATCAATTAAAATTTCACAATTAATTTCACAATCATTTAAAATTTCACACGTATAAAAGCAAGATTTTTCTATTTAACATGATGCACAAATTATTTCGAGCACATTTTTCCTAATTCAGATTTCCTAACACATATAAGATGAGATTATGGGGGCTCGGATTGTTTGGTATGAAGGATTGACAAACTCATGGGTGTAGTATAGCGAGACAAGAGCTTTGCTTAAGCTTATAGCTTTCTAATCCCATTAATAAGGCTCTGGCTGAAGCAACAATCTCGAGCTCGGCACCTACTCTAATTCCGGTTAAAAAGTTTGCAGCTGCTTACTACATGTTATTCTGATAGGCGACGTTATCAAGGGTCTCTATCTTTTAAGGAAGGCTGTTGCTTGGCTGACCGCTTTTTTAATGTTAAAACTTTTTTATTATCTATTAGTATCATCACTATGCTCTGTTTAAAATAGAAATCTTTAGACCAATTTGTTTGAAATGTAAGTAATTATGAACGTAAAGTGCTAGCTGACTTGAATTTAGGTTTTTAACGTAATACTTACCCTTTTTGTTTTGTGTGTGAGCATAAGTATTTAGGATATATGTATTCTGTATCAAGTGTATAAGTTGGTTTGATCAACCTAAATCCTGCTTGAAGGAATAAAGTAATAAATCCTTGATCATTATATATAATTTAATACTACACTTTGCTATTGTTTCTTTGTTTTTCATATATCTGCCCCCTCTTGTTCCATTCAATAATAATAGCCTTTATGCTTCTTTTAAGCTGTGCATATTATTTTTTTTAAATGTCTTGGTATTTAGGATATATATATTTATTTCAGATTGTGAGCGGAACTTGTGAGTGTCCCGTTGGTGCGAATCCAGCGATTTGCAAGCATTTCTTTGCTTTAGCGGCCTTGCTTGAGGATTACAGCAAGAAAGAGATGTTTTCAGCTCCAACTGAAAAACTTCAGAGATGGCATCAACCTTCTAAGAAAAAGTTCTCCCCAAAAAAGGCTGAAACCGTCTTCAATGTTAAAAGTTGTCAAAGTGTGAGTAAAGAGTTACATTTTTCTTCACTGAATGCACTTCCGCCATAAAATGCTTATTTTTCTTTGAGTGCTTATTAAAAATGTTTAGTTTTCCTTTTTTCCAAAAAGAAAAAGGATATCCTTTTCCTTGCCATGTCAATTTATGCCATGGATCATGCAAAAAGAGCGATTTTTCGCAACATTGTCATTTTATGCAACCTCTTTTGATAAAAAGAAACCAAATACCTTAGATATAGATGTATCAGTTGAAGTCGAGGGTCATCTTGAGTATATGATGAATCTGATTCATCAAACGTGCACGAGAATCCCATAAATACCTTTAATATTTATTGTATTAATGTTAAATGTTTTTTTAAACCTACAAATGAGTGTACGATATATTTTTTTAAAAAAAAAGGAAAACTGCAGTTTTNATTCAGGGCCAGATGGCGATCAGTAATTTGGACAAGTGTTTATTTGTACTGCATTTCAATGCCAACCAAATGCATATGGAAGTGGTTCCATTTAATAATGATTTTTGGCTATCCATGCTACCTAATTTAAAGTCTTTTTATTTTAAATATTATTTGAAGTTACTTATATCTCAATAAGAAAATTTTTTTGTTTTGTTTTTATTAATATTTCTGTTACTTTATACTGTTTATTAAGATTTGTGTTATTATTTGATATAAAATGCTTCTTTATTGTGCATCATGTTAGTATTAATTACAGTACAAAAGATATGCTCTTTATATAAAGCTATTAGGCATGTGCTTTGTTGCTCTTTTGTTTCTCTCCCTGTTTTTTATTCTCAGGCTTTATGGTTGTCAAAACTGAAGATCCTCCAGAATTTTGACAAAACACATCCTTTTACTTGCGGTAATACTTGTTGTGAAATGACAAGGGTAAAGTGCTTTTAAAAATGCTTATTTTTCTTTGAGTGCTTATTAAAAATGTTTAGTTTTCCTTTTTTCCAAAAAGAAAAAGGATATCCTTTTTCTTGCCATGTCAATTTATGCCATGGATCATGCAAAAAGAGCGATTTTTCGCAACATTGTCATTCTATACAACCTCTTTTGATAAAAAGAAACCAAATACCTTAGATATAGATGTATCAGTTGTTTTATATGTTGAAGTCGAGGGTCATCTTGAGTATATGATGAATCTGATTCATCAAACGTGCACGAGAATCCCATAAATACCTTTAATATTTATTGTATTAATGTTAAATGTTTTTTTAAACCTACAAATGAGT